GAGGTAAGGGAGAATTCTTCTTACTGCTGCTTATCTGTTCAGCGTGGAATTTGCTTCCTCCCACTGGGCTTAGCCACAAACTAAGTGTGTGTAAGTAAATGATGCAAGACGAACTCATTACACGGCTGACATAGCAGCAGCTACCTGTGATTCCTTGGTGGGACGAGACCCTTAAGCCACCAGAGAGCTTATGTAAGAGATATTTTGGTTGACATGGCACCAAATTTAATTTTAAATTTGTTTCTAGCCAATAGCACACGAGAGCCAACCTGGATCAGTGGACACAACCCCCTGATTGGTTGGAATTGTTTCAAGAAGGTCATTATAGTGTACAGATCAGAAAACAGAACTGTGACCAGTATATGAACAAGGGAAGTGGTGTGTGTGTGTGTGTGTGTGTGTGATACAAATTTAATAAACTACTACTACTATTACTTTTCACTCTCTGAAGCCTCTTGATTCAACTGGAGCAGTTTCCTGAGTGAACATTTGGCTCAGCCCTTAAATAAACAAGGAGATTGCTCAAAAATTGCTGAGGGTTGAATTATTCACTTTTCCAGCTCATGGTTTTCTAGGATGCTGAGCGATGCATTTTTGACCCCTGCAGAACATGCCATTTCTAATAAGGAAAACAAAGGGCTGTATAATTTTCCTGATGCTGAAATGAACGTAAAACAACAACTGGATGATTTAATCCTAATATATATTCATCGAGTTTTAGGGGAAAGATGGGATAAGGGTACATACTGAATAGCAAGAGAAGAGGGGGAAGAGAGAAAGGATGAGTGAATTGTTTTCAAAGACATCTGGATATATGAAAATCAAGTTTTCAGCATGACCTCTCTAATGCCACCGTTGCGAAATTAGCAGCTGCTGTGACGTCAAAGGAAGGATCTTATTTCTGCTGTAGAGCTGCATGCCTTGAATTCACAATGACTGACTAGGCTTGTGTTGTGTTGCGCGATTGCCTTGGGATTCCTTCTCCGATTTCTACGTAAGGCAGTAGAAGTCTCTGTTGGGAGGAAAGCAACAAAAGCATGCCAGGAGCTACCTGAACCAGTGGAGGGTGATAATCAGAAAGGCAACAGAGGACTCAGCTACACAGCTGCAAATAAAACGTTTTGAATGTTTGTACATTGAGTGCAACGTACAATTGTGACACTAGATGGCGACGGCGAGCTATAGCAAATTCAATGCATTTTTCAAAACGGGTTTTTTAAAGCATTTTAACGTTTTCAGCATGTGTGTAGATTCCACCCTGTTCTTCCCTCGCTGATTCTTTCTCATGTCGTGTGTCCTTATGCTTTCCTTCCTTCCTTCCTCCTCCTCCTTCAAGCCACTTTGCTTTGGATCTTTGGTTAATCTCTTGACCTGATGACTCCATGATGGTCCCATATACAGTAAGCTTCTACTCAGAATGGCTTTGTTTGCCGGGAATAAAAAACACCTTAAGTTCCTTTATTCTTTCTTTCTCCCCCCCCCCTTCCCCCAATATTATTATTATTAGGTTTTACAACAAATTTTAACACATTCACTGCTGATAATATAATCACAAAAGAAGTTTCCAAATGCCCCCCCACGACTTCCTCCAACTTCCCTTTCTGGTTTATAATGCATTTGCTTCTCCTGCATATTATCTTATTCCGTAATAAAGTAGAGTTAAAATTATAGATCGTTATTATATTTTATTAGTTAATTGTGTCTAATCAAACCCTGCAAGTGAGTCTGTTTCCTTACGTTGCTTCTGTATATACACCATAAAAGGTTCCCAGTCTTTTTTAAAGTCTCTATTATCCTAAGTTTCTTTGTTCTTTCAACCAGCAGTCTTGCCAGACTATTTATTTCTGCACTCTGCTGGTGTGTGTGTGTGTCTGTGCGTGCGTGCGTAACCCAAAAGATCCCTTCTCCAGCATCCTAGAGCAGGGGTCAGCAAACTTACCACACCTCAGGCCGGTGTCTCCGGCGCCGATCGCGCGGCGGGCGGGGGAGTGCATGCCCATACGCGTGCGCACACATTATTTCTGGCGCACGTCTGGGTCGGAGGAGCACCGGAAATCGCTTGTGTGCATTTGCACTGGCCTTCTCCGACCCTGGATGTGCACCGGAAATAACGCTTCTGCATGCACACAATGCTTGCGCATGTACACAAGTTATTTCCGGTGCTCCTCCAACCCAGAAGTGGGCAGCCGTGCAGTGCAGCGCCGGTAAGAGCAGGTGGTGGCAGCGGGTGGTGGGGGTCGCCGCGGTCCGGATAAACGAGTCCCTCAGGCCTTATCCAGCCTGCAGACCTTAGTTTGGGGACCCCTGTCCTAGAGTCACCCAACCAACATGTTGTTGGCATCCGTCTCCTACTCAAGAGACAATGGAGTGCGCTTCCAAGGGTGAAGTCAAACTGCTGCCTTAGCAGCACCCAAGTGACTTCCCCTGGGCTGCCCAGACAACAGGACTCCCCTCTCATCCTTGCTGATGTGGTCCAAAGGAAAGCAGAGCAATACATTTGGCACCAGCTGGGCTGCAGGAATTGCCGGAAGGAGGCCTACAAGGTGCCAACCAACCATCTTAGGTACTCCGCTCCAGATTTGTGTAGGGTATACTCCTAAGCCTTTTCTTTTCCCGAATATATCCTGCAAGGTAGTAGAGGTTTAGAATCAGAGTTTTCTTTCTCCTAGATGGGCTACCTTCCCATGTTGACAAGTCCCATCTGGCCCTCACTTCCCTCTACAGCACATGCAGAAACCACCTTCTTGACCGCTGGACCCACTATTGGTCTCATCGGCTCAATCCACCAGAGCCTGCCTTTACACGCAGGGGAAGTCCATAACAATCAGCATGGAAGTGGAACTTTTTAGTCACTGAAAAAAGCATTCTCACCCCTTTGTGCCTTTTGGAGCCAATCAGAGTAAAAGGAGGCGAGTCAACCACCGAGGATTGGCTCCCAGGATCACTCTGGATAAAGGTTGTGGGAAGAGCAGCAAGGAGGAGTTGTTCTGCATGCTCCAAAGCTCAGTATTTAGGAACACTGAAAGCACAGTTTTCAGAGAATGGTGTGCAAGTTATTTTGCGTACAATGGGACTTCAAGGAAAATGCAACTTAACTCACTCAAAATATTATACTGGAGCACTCAGAATGATTCACCTGTGTATGTGCCCAGAAAATAGTAGAAACAGACAGAGGTCTGCATTGATCTCTAATGATTATTATTCCATAATTATAGGATTATTGCATAATCTTAGAAGGTTGTATGTAACAGAAGGGAGCATGCCTATGACTACCATGAAGGAACCCTGCACTTCTGAATTCGCCGCTACTGTGGATATATATATAGCCAAACTCCCACAGTATCAGCCTATAGACTCTTGAAATATTTGTATGGGCAAATCTGACCAGTTGCACGATATCTCATTATGCATGGTGATCCCTGATTGGCTAGAAGAAGCCCCCAAAGTTTGGCAGTTTCCCTGAGCTAAAGATTTTGTGTGTATGTGTCTGTTGTCATGGAGGGGGGGGGAGGGGAATAAGACCATTAAGTCTAGAATCGAAAATTACCTAACGCTTTCACTGTTATCTCTGATGAGCAGAGAACCACAAACTGGCCACCGGCCACTGTGTCCGTAGCGTTACTTAAAGAGAGAACAAAATCCAGACCTACAAAGGTCCCTTATGCAACTCTGGCTTTTAAAAAATACCCCGTTAAATATTTCATGGTTGCTGCGGGCAGCATTTCAGGGCTCTCGTCATCAGCCTTCTCCTGCGTTATGAAACATTTATCAGCCCAAGCCAGGAAGTCAACGTCGCTGGCTGACAAGCCTGAAATTATTTGCAAACTGAGATGGAGCGAGGGAAAAGATATGTAGCACATGACCCTGAGGATTATGCTAAGCAAAAGAGTGAAGCAGAGGAGGCTGATCCGTTATGGCAGATGGGGCAGTGCCCCACAAACCTCCGTCTGCCCTCATCCTGCTTCCACTTGCCTGCCTTCCTAGTTCCAGCCAGTCCATGGGGTGGCCCTGCCTGTCAGTTTCCTGCTCCTCAGCCTCAATGTCGCCCTCTCCAGGAGGGAGGAGGATGGGGACAAAACTAGAATCCTTTGGCTCTGCCTGCCATTGGCTCTGGCGCCACCTACTGTTGGCCTCCCTGCCTTCTGCCCTATCAGCTGCCACTGCCTTCCAGTATTGCCCTTGTTAAGCTGTGGGTGAACATATCAGACGACACAGCGATTCTTCAAACAGGTCTTGTTTATTCACAGACCCAGAACAGAACTGAACTGAAGGGTTCAGCCAGCCTGCCTATATAGAGCTCCACTACACCGCAACAGTAACAACTTTCTGTAACTGCCCAATCACTGAACGTCACTTTCAGTTCCTTATTTGCATATGTGGACCTGAGTGAAAACTACCTACAGTATCCCCCTGCTGGCCCAGGGTGAGAACTTCAGTACATAACAGCCCTGGCCCTGAAATGGCAGCTAGGTGGCTGGGCAAGGGAGCTACCAGAAGAGAAATAGATGGTTATTCCAAAATAAGCAGGCAAGGATGCAGTTTGGCTGATGGTTTTCAAACAAGCTTTCTGTATCTGTTTGCCCCAGAGACCTGTCAGGAGAAAAGAAGCAAGCATACCTCTCAGTAAAGATGAAGTCAATCTAGACTACCCACTCCTAGGCAGAAGTGGGGGGTCTGCAACAAAATGTTACATCGTGGAGTGCTCCTGTCTAGGGCTTGAACCAGCCAGCCACACCCCTTCCTGAGAAAGGATTTCAACCCTCATTTTCTCATAATTTCCAACAGTTAATCAGCACCTGCCAAAGGAATGTGGTATTGAAAAAGAGGAATGCTACCTACGTAGGGAATATGCTGAAAATGTGATTTCATCTACTTTAAGGAGACTTTCCAGCTTAAACTGGCCCCTCGCATGACCTGCCAACTGCACTAGGTAAAGATTGCAGCCCAGGGGGCTGAGCCGTTTCACTCAAACTCGATATTAACTTTGGAAAGAATGAATGGCATGGTGGCGATTCAAGGGAACGTTTGTTCTGAAATAATCAGGACGGAGGCTACAAGAATGTGGGCTTTGCTGCAAAAGTGATTTCAGGTTCTTCAAGAAGATCCTTGCCTCAAGCTGACCCCAATCATATCCTACAGGCCACGGAAAATCACGAACAACCATCCCAGCCTACTCTTCCTTCCTTGGGACAGGTAACCATTGACGTCTCACTGCCACCTGTGACACCTCTGTCCCCATTTTCTAAATGTTCTGTGTGTCAATCCTCTTTGTCTAGCCAGGACTGTTTCTTCTTCTTCTTCTTCGGCGATCACTCGTAGCCGAGTAAGATTGTTTTCCATAAACACGGTTTTAACAGTGAGTCCGTAAGTGACTGTGGAGGCCAATTCTGGATCCACACGTCCTTCCACAGTGGGGAGATAGATTTCCGGGCAGGAGTTGATCACGGTGTGGATTTGCCAAGCATACCTTCCTCCTATCACATTTCTCCCTTGCGTCCTGAGTTCGAGTGTCTTCAAAGCCCATGACACCTATGGAAAAGGCTGTTCTCCAGTTGGAGCGTTCGCAGGCCAGTGTTTCCCAGTTGTCGGTGCTTATACTACATTTTTTTAAAGAAAAGATTTGCCTTGAGAGAGTCTTTAAACCTCTTTTGTTGACCACCAGCATTACGCTTTCCATTTTTAAGTTCGGAATAGAGTAGTTGCTTTGGAAGACGATAATCAGGCATCCGCACAAGAAGAACATAAGAAGAACCTTGCTGCTGGATGTGGCCATATGGCCCATTTAAATAGTTGTTTTGACTGATTATTTTGTTGTTCTGTTCTCTTTGTAAACTGCTTTGAGGTTGTCGGCTTTCCCCACCATCAAGCATTGTATATATGTAGTGAAATAATTAAATAATATAAATAGTCCGGCATCCTGTTCTCACAAGTGGCTAACAAGATTCCTGTTGGAAGACGGTAAGTAGGAGGAATCTGTTTTGACATGGCAAGCTGTGGAGAAGATAAAGGAGGAGGTTGTTGTTGAACCTCAAGTAATACAAGTGGAGAGAGCCTTGGCCTTGTATGAGCATAAGCTGTTGTTTTTGATGACCGAATCTGGAGAAAGCCAGATTTGGAGAGATGGAGTCCCGCTTGGATTGGAGAAGGAAAGTTGGATAGATCCCCTTATGCAGGGATGTTCTGGCTTTTGGGATCTGGTTTTGGGCCAGGGGAGATTGGAGTGGTGGGGGCCTTTAACTTTGGAGGGATTTTGAAACATGCTTTGAAATATTCTTTGGATTTTAGTTCTGACTGTGGAGAGTGGGCTGACCTGTCGAGAAGGGATAAAGACATTGTTAGGTTGGAGTTTCCCCGAGATCTACTCCTCAGTGCTAAAGGAAGAAAATTAAGAACAAGATCAGCAGAAGACAAAGTAAAGTGCAGGTATAAATATGAAGAAGATCTGCAGAAGGGACATGGAAGAGAGTTAAGAGCCTCGGACAGAAGGTCACCAGGTTGATGGACTATATGGAATGGATAGAAAGGACTGACAGAACCCAAGACCAGGGAGAAGAGATGGTGGATGAAGATTGGAAGAAAGTTTAAAAATTTATTTAGAGAAATATTGTAAAATTAATGAGTGTTAGAAAAATGTTGGAATGAAACTATACGGCTTTGTATATATGTTGGAAGCTTCCCAGAGTGTCTGGAGCAACCCAGTAAGATGTGTGGGGTATAATTAATAAAATTATCATTATGCAATCAGATGTCCCTATTTTCATCGGATAAATGTTGGAGGGTATGCTGTTTCCAATGGGTCTACCCCAAGTAGGACTTAGTTTAATACAATCCTGTATTTCCTTCCTGGGCAGGGGGGATGCTCCAGTTAATGCAAAACAAATTTGTTTTGCATTTCGGCATCGAAAAGCCACAGCAGATGTCTCGTTGACATGCTTAATGGGTTTACAAGGCAGCCTGCTTAGAAACGGAGGTCCCCCACCCTTGTCAGAAACAGCAGGTTGTTTGTAAGCCGAGGCAGGAAAGCGAGCGAGAAGAAAAGCCCCAAACAATCTGTTTTCTGGCTGCATTGAAAACAGCACATCATAAGCTCACAACAGGACCCTCCTGGCTGTTTTCTGTTTATTACATTGAAAAATGAAAGCGTAGGCTGGCTGGCCGACATTAATTTTGTCACCCCTGTAGGGAATCACCCATCTTGACTGCCTGCCTTTTGTTTGGATTCGTTTCTCGGAGGGGAAATAACTGGCGCCTGTCGAGTTAGCAAAAAGACTTCCCCAATTGGCTGCTTGCGGAGGGGGGGCTGGTGACTGTATTTCGGCACCGCGACAAAATGGCCTCTCCAGCACTGGAACTCCATTTACAAGAGGTCATTTGGGCTATTCCAGGGGTAGGCAACCTAAGGCCCGTGGGCTGGATGCGGCCCAATTGCCTTCTCGATCTGGCCCATGAACGGTCCAGGAATCAGCGTGTTTTTACACAAGTAGAATGTGTCCTTTTATTTAAAATGCATCTCTGGGTTATTTGTGGGGCCTGCCTGGTGTTTTTACATGAGTAGAATGTGTGCTTTTATTTAAAATGCATCTCTGGGTTATTTGTGGGGCATAGGAATTCGTTCATTATTTTTTTTCAAAATATAGTCCACCCCCCCACAAGGTCTGAGGGACAGTGGACCAGCCCACGACTGAAAAAGGTTGCTGACCCCTGGGCTATTCTCATGCCTCAGGATGGCAAAAATGCAGCATTTATCCAGCCTGTGGCTGCCATTTTGTTATTGTTCGGGAGCCAAGCCGTTCGAGTACTGAGGTACCACTGTATATGTATTTCTATTTGGTTGAAGAAGTGCAACGCAACGTTCAGGAAATTTTCAGTTTGCATATTGTATCCGGAAGTGCGGATCATGTCGGTCTGTGGTACAGTCCAAACAGAATGGACTTCTTCCGCATTCCTAAATACTATACAGCTGGTTTCATTCCTTGTTGGCTGGTTTCAGAAGGGGTTTTGGGGAGTGCTTCTCAATACGGAGGGGTTTAGGCTAAGACCAACTACAGTTCCCACAATTCTTTGAGGGCCCTGAAAATGCCTTCCTAAGAATATGTCCTTGACCTCTGACCATGCCTCTTGCTCGCTTGGAGAAGAGGAAACCGAGGGTATGTGGATGCAGAAACTGCCTTAATGTACAAAGGCAAAATTTGCATCTGTTGCTCCTCCTACTTTGCCTCTGGCTCCACCCACCACTAGTGTCTGGCTCTGGAAAGGTTGATCAAAAGGGAAATGTGGTCTTTGGGTTGGAGGATCACCCTGAGACCTCCAGGTATAGGGAGATATATAAATTCAATAAATAATAATAAATAAATAAAAAGTTTTCCCCGCCCCTGAGTTAAATTGTGATTTCTTCCCCTGAGCTATAACCATTGGTGACTGGTGCCCATTGGGACTAGCAGGCAGAAAAATGCAGGTAAGTGAGGTAGTCACAAGAAAAACTTTCATCCCACCAGGAGAATTTCACTAATAAATAAATAAATCCCTTCCCCTTTTTAAATGCCATTTCTTGGATGGTAGCAGGGAAAATACAGGGAAAATGTTGGCCACACACGAACTAGAGCTTTTTACCGGTTGATACTGGAAATATAATTCCTAGACTAGACAGGTCCTTAACCTGATTCAACACAGCTTTTATTTTCAGTCAGAAAACAGCAACCAGAATAACCTTGGCAAAGAATTTTGAAGTGCAGCGTAATCTGTACCCCCAATTAATACAACCATTTTCAGAAGCGACATTGTGCTTTTGCTGCATTTGTCCTTCAAACAAATCAAAACAAGACCACAGACAGCATCAGCTGGAATGGATATTCAGTATAAATATTGGTTCCTCTCCCGCTTTCCCTGCACTATTAATTCCAGATTAAGAACAGTCGCATCCACAAGGGCCCTAGCCTACCCAGTCTTTGGTACTTGCACAAAGGATAGGTTTGGATCCAATGTCAGTCCTACTCGGAATAGACACATTGAAATGAACGAACCTTTGGGGTGCAGCCAAGACTAGTCGCTCAAGGTAATAATGTTCCTTAACTTCAGTGGGTCTACTCTGAGCAGGGCTAGTATCGGATGCAACCATAGGTGTGTGCATGGGGTGTTTAAAAACCCCAGAGATTGTGCCAAAGATGAGAGATTATGGAGCAGCAACCCAGCTCCTTCAGCTGCCACAGGGAAACTGGTGGGAGAGAGACAGAGGCAGAAGAGGGGAGAAGGGAAGCAGGGAGAGGTGCAGGCAGAAGAAAAAAGCTGGAATGGATCTGCAGTTTCTGCCTATGTCTGTCTCTGGAAAGGATGGTGGTGTGATTGGCAATAAGGGAAGAGGCTGTTTCTAGAGACAGAATTTGGTATACTTGGATTCGCTCTCTTTTTAGTTTTAATTTCTTTAAGTTTAGTTGTTTTGTTTTTTAGTTTAGGTCCCTTCGTCCATTTGATGAATGAAAACAATGTCATTTACGACAGTTGTTGTTGTTTAGTCATTTAGTCATGTCCGACTCTTCATGACCCCATGGACCAGAGCACGCCAGGCACTCCTGTCTTCCTCTGCCTCCCGCAGTTTGGTCAAACTCATGCTGGTAGCTTCGAGAACACTGTCCAGCCATCTCGTCCTCTGTCATCCCCTTCTCCTTGTGCCCTCCATCTTTCCCAACATCAGGGTCTTTTCCAGGGAGTCTTCTCTTCTCATGAGGTGGCCAAAGTATTGGAGTCTCAGCTTCAGGATCTGTCCTTCTAGTGAGCACTCAGGGCTGATTTCCTTAAGAATGGAGAGGTTTGATCTTCTTGCAGTCCATGGGACTCTCAAGAGTCTCCTCCAGCAACATAATTCAAAAGCATCAATTCTTCAGCGATCAGCCTTCTTTATGGTCCAGCTCTCACTTCCGTACATCACTACTGGGAAAACCATAGCTTTAACTATATGGACCTTTGTTGGCAAGGTGATGTCTCTGCTTTTTAAGATGTTGTCTTTACAACAGAGTATTCAACAAATCTTTGCCTTTAAAAAATAAATTAAATTTCCCTGGACGCTCACCCTAATAAAATGTGTTGTGCACGCCTATGGATACAACCTTCAGAACTATTTTTAATTGAAATGCATGCAAATTAAATCAAACACGCACAATAACTCAAGGAAAATGCCTTCCATTGGGTGACAGAGCTAA